ATTCTTCATGAAACTAAAAAAATTACGTCAAATACTGCCAACCGCGTGAAAATCGGTTGATTCATTTAAAAGTTAGTGTGGTTCAAAAATTTTAAAAATATTGTTCTATGATACTCCTATCAGACTTTTGAGCTCGAAAAGCTCAAAAACGTCATTAGTGCAGTTTTATGCACCTAGGTATGGAATTAGCGGGAAGTTGCACGGATGGCCTTCAGGGTCTACCGTTTTTCTAATTTTTTTTTTTTAAATATCAGTGCCCTTTTTTCTTGTCATATGCGTACGCAGTTTAAAATAAAAAGGCCATTCGGCAGCCGAAATGGAAGTAGATTTCATGATGAATAAAAAAAATTCTACTAGAGTTGCATACGAAAAAAAAATAAACTTCTGTTACATTAAACAACAATGACGTCAAAACGAATGCAAAAGTAAAATTTCATTAAATCTGTCTGAGAAAGTAGGTAATTTTTGGCCTAGACTGATAATAAGGTACACAAATTAAAGCTTATTTAATAAGCTTTCAGATGCTATTTATAGAATTTTGATAAGATATCGCGTTCAATTGTAATTGCACGGAAATACGAAAAAATTGAAAATTTTTGCGATTTTGAAAATTTTTGAATTGCTATTATTCCTGAACTATTCAATTTGGAAAAATAAATAAGTATACAAATTAAAGCTTATTAAATAAGCTTTCAAATGCAATCTACAGAAATCCGATAGGATGTCGCTTTTCATTGTTATTGCACGGAAATAAGGTAAAAGCGAAATTTTTTGCGATTTTTGAAAATTTTTGAATTGCTCTCATTTTTAAACTAATCGATCGATTTCGCTCATCTTAGAACTTAACCTCGGAAATCGTCCTAAAAATAAGTATGTTACGTTTCATTGAGATCCGTATAGAATTACGGGAGTTAGAGAAGAGACAAAATGCCGATAATATCGTGTATATATATATATATGATATTTTCACCTTATTGCTTATATCTGAAATAATGAATTGATTAATTTTTTTCTTCTAAAAACTAAAGCTTGATAGAATTAGAAAAAAAAAGGTGATAAATGGGATAGTAATTTCCAAAATATATCGGAAATTAATTTTATTATCCTTTGACACGTCGTACTCTCTCATATATGCAAGATGACGTAATATATATATTAATATAATTAGATTATTAATTAACAATCTATATAAATTTATAGAACTGTCTGTTCTCCATTGCTTTTAAATTTTCTTCTTACGTTCAGCTTTTTCTTCCTTCTCTTTTTATTTTCTTCATTTCTCTAATTTTTTTATTTTTTTGTTTCTTCATTTCATCTTCGTCTTTTTTAATTTAACAAATAAAATTGAAAATAAGTAATATTCATCTGTTGGATAGAGGTAATAAAAGTGTCACCAATAGATAAACAGTCAATTTTCTTATTTTCTTTGTAATTTATTATTAAAAAATCATATTTATTGCTTCTTTAGTAGATCATGAGTATAATCAAATGCATTTACCTTACTTTTTTCATTATTTTCAATAGTAATAACAAATAACGTTAACCGGCTAGCTGTCACATGCTTACTAGTGGTGGCGTTCTCTAAGCTAAAATTCGAGACGTCAAATTAAAAAAATTTTTTTCAACTATTATTTTTAATACAAAAATTCAAAAACTCATTTTTCGCTCTCTCAACTATGTGTAGTTATTAAAAAAAATTATGACATACATTTTTGTTTTTAAATTTAATGTAATTGCTTTTAGAAATCATATTTGTCTATCTATTGGGAGGTGCTTTAAGAACTCAGAAGAGCATAAAAGTTTTGTCTTGGAGCTTGGAGAACTCAAAAATGTCGTAGGTAGTGAACCGTTTTACTAATTTTCTTTTATGAAATCTTTAAAGTTGCAATGGTTTTTTATATTTTAAAATTTTTAATTTTTCCATAGCATTAAATATATAACTTACAGCACTAATAAATTTACTATTTTATACCAAGAAAAGATTAATAATTTAAGAAAATATTTATATTTTTTCAATAATCGATTTTTGATAAAAGCATCATGTGATGACATTTCAAAATAAAATATATTAGTGTTTAAGTTTTTTATAAGAATATTATTACTTAACTATGTAAAAAGAAAGCGTTGAAAATAACTTTGATGAAATCATAAGTAGTTTCTTCTTTACTATGCATAAGAGCAGATTAAGCATTTTTTTAATAAAATTTGATCATTTTTTCTTAATATGACTTTATGTAGATTACAACAAATTTCTTGTCAAAATTTTTAGATACTATCTTGATATGCTCATGGGCAGATTTAAAATTTTTTTGATCCAATTAAAAAATCTCCGATCAAATTCCTTCGTTTTGCATCTATCAATTTCAATTAATCTTAAAGGGAATGAATGTAAAAATAAATAACTCAGTAAAATTTTTTATAATTGTTTCACAGTTTATTATAGATAATCGATAAATGTATAATAATTACTAACTGCTCATCGAATCATACTGAAGACTGCGTTAATCATTCATTTCTCAGAATCATCCCCGACACAAGAATAACTTACAAAAATATCAATAATTAATTATGGTAATAATAATATTAATAATAATAATATTATAATTAAAAATTATAATAATAAATTGAAAAATTCACTTACAGTTTAATCAAATAATATTATAATCTTACAATAAATCTTAAAAAAACAAATCTTATTAATAATATTTTTGTATCGGGAATTTTTCACTTTTACATAATATTCTGTTTAAATTAACTTGCCCTCTACTTTTTTTTTTTATTTTATAAATTCGTGACGGCGAGATCACAATCAATTCTTCCTTTTATTTATCATTTCTTCTTCATCCCATGGTTAATTTCGTTGTTAATATCGTTATTACGGACAATTTTCATACGATTACTATACAAATTTTTAAAAACTTTTTATTCCTCCCCTTGTTAATCTATAATATGATTTTAATGCCAGTCCAAATAATTATAATAACTATTACAATTAATTTTTTTTTAGTTTATTTATTTTCTTCGATATTATTATTATCATTAATATTAATAATTCCTCTAACACTTAGAAGTATTCGAATTTTTAATAATAAAAAGTCTACTGCCTTAACAAAAGTATTCAGGCTTTAAATGTTTCATTATCAGCATTATTATTATTATTATTATTATTATTAATTTTATATTAATTATTTATGAAGGTATAAACGTATAAATATCGTATGAAAAAGGTTTAAAAGGTACCGTTTCAAGTTTATGTCGGATTGGTAGTGGCGGGTTATTTTATCATTCATTTCATATCATTATTATCATTAATATTTATTTATTAACTTTAATTAGGCGACATTATAAAAGAACGATAGGCGTTAGTTAACGAGCGAGTTTTTTTACATATGCAATTGTGAGATATTATTTTTTTTTTCATAGTTTATTACATATTACTTACATTTCTGCTCGACTTAGACTATCGTAGTGTTTTACAATTTATCAATTATTATAATTATAATTAGTTATTATTTTGTTCGTGTAATTTAAAAAGTGTGCGTGAGACGCGTGTGAATTAATGTGCAAGTATAAAACAAATTGTTATTTTAATAAAATCAATTGTACAAATTTTTTTTTTTTTTTTTTATTATTATTATAATTAGTCTTTTTCATAATTTTAATGAGTTTTAATTTTAATAAAACGGTTTCGTCATTAATTGATATTAAGATTAAAATTTTTGATCATTTTTTTTCAGATCTAATACACAAATCCAATAACAAGACTTTAAAAAATTAAAAACAATATTTTCTATTATTGTTTAACAATTATGTTAAGTATAGGTGATTAAAAATGGTGAAATTCGTACAATAATTACCGAAAATTACTATTAAAAAATTATCAACAGTAAACTGTGTACGAGTTTCACCATTTTTAATCACCGATACTCGACATAATTGTTAAACAATAATAGCAAATATTGTTTTTAATTTTTTAAAGTCTTTTTAAACATGTATTATTTACGCAAACTCATTAAAATTATCTAACAACTAATTAATAAGCCATAACCGAATCATTACCATTATCACCGTTCTCATTCACTCGTTTATCATCAATTACTTAAAACAAATCTCAACACTTGTAATTTATTTAAAACTGCAGTGCTTTAATTAGCAATCACCAGTTACTAATTATACAATTAATAGCGGGGAGTGTTTAAACCGGCACCTTGAGTATTTTATTTAATTCCGTTGACAAATTTAAGAAAAATAATTGTTGTTAAATATATATTTATATATAAGAAAAAAATAAACGAATCGCTCGTTGAAAAGAAATTAGTTGCATATTTATAATAATTATAATATCTTAATAACAATTAATGACACTTGTTTCAATTTCTACATTATTTGCAGAGCATATTAATCAATAATTATCATTATTATTATTTATTAATTATTAATTATTAATATTAAAACGTTATTGGGCACGGCCCAATTTCGGTACTGTCATCCATTATTTATTCATTCATTAATTAATTGATTAATTAATTAATTAATGGGTTGCCGTGTTAGCTAATCTATTATTCCGAGCGTTACATCTTATTTACCATTCGTTTATTGTTGTCAAGTTGGTTAAAAAAAAAAAAAAAAATAAAAACAATATTTAAATAAATCGAATCGAAAAAGACTCGCCGCCGTCTCCTGCCGTTAATTTCTCGATGCCGCAATTAAAATACAATCAGTAGTTATCAATTAATTAGGCGTACGAATGAGTTTATTTAAAAGTATGACAAACGCTCGAGCATCCTCGTGGCAACTGTCGATTTACAATTTTTTTTAGTTATTTAAATTAATTAATTAGCTGAGTTGATCTTGTTGTTGCTGTTGTTGATGTTAATTATGAATTGCAGGAATGGTCCAAATATACATATCTATATTATATAATTAGTTTTTTTTTTTGGTTTTAATAGAGAAAAAAAATTTAGGTTTTTTTTCTTCTTCCCCAAATTTTATGATGACGCTTATTCGTTGATATTGTTCTGATGATTCATTTCGGCAATTATTTCCTGTAACATATTATAATTGTTTTGTTAATTTTTTTATCTTTAAAAAAATTATTATTAATAATATATATGAGTGATTCTCTGTAAGGACGTCTTAAATCTGTATAAAATTGTCCGACCAAATTATTTTTGATTTTATTAGAAAAAAAATTAACAAGGGCTGATTGAGAAAAATCAAGCAAACTATTTCAATGCATTCAACTTTTCAAGTTCTCAATGAATGTTTACATTAATTAGAATAATATTGAGACTTATGGATCCAATTTTTTAAATAAATTATAAATAAAAATAGTTGCCAGGGGACTGACGTTTTGAAGTGGCCCAGACACATATTTTTAGCACAAACGGTGTTTTTGACACTAAATAAAATAGCGATAAAGCGCTAACAGCCCTATGGTTTTTAACTCAAGGTTGGTTAGATCCTTATAAACTTTGAACTTCTGGCAGAAGACTGCACTGATAGAAGGATTTGTTTGTATTTAATAAATGAATTTACTAAAATCTTTTTCAGATATTTTTTTGGTTGGAAAAAATATTTTTTTACTATTAACAATATTCGTTAATATTAACTAAATTTATTTTTTATGAGAACAAAATTTTCGTAACTATTAAGAAGCTTTAATGTATTGAAAAAAGTATTTATTTCCACCAAATAAGATTTGTTAATAGTTAACAAATATTTTGTTGGTGGTCAGTGTTGGTAGATGGCTGTACTTAACGCGTAGTTGTAAATATTTTATTTACTCTAGCGATAAAATTAAAACTTGATTTATGTAAAAAATTTATCAAAGCAGAAGGATTTAAACATGTTGTAAAATATACCAATCTTGAAAAGTTGTCAATTAATTTAAAAAATTTTTATCAATAATAAATTATTTTACTGTAGTTACTTTGATTTTAAATGTATGGTTGCAATAAAAAAATTAATTGTAAACTTCTCTAATACTTCTCTTGTAAACTTCTAATTGTAATTTCTCTTTTTATTATTTGTATCCTTTAATTTCATTTTTCATTTACTTCATTAAATATCTAATTCTCTGTAATTTTTACAATTAAAATAAAACATTGAAACACGTTTTTGAGGAATTTTTTAAATATTAATAATCCAATGTGTAAATATTAATAAATGATTTATTAAATATTAATAAATATTTGGTTAGCACAAAAAAATAGCTGCTAATAAATGATTTATTAACTGTTAATAAATATTTGTTAAGGACCTATCCTCTAGTAAATCATTTATTAAATATTAACAAATCTTTTTAAATACAAAAAAATCCTTCTATCAGTGTGTTCTTAAAATGCCTGGGACAAATTTTGCTTTAATGAATTTAATGAAACAAATCAATTTTCGGTACTTTTTATTTAAGAAGATTGTTAGTTAACTAATTAAGCTTATAAACATTATGGACCAAATTATATATTATGGACGAATAACTTAAAATTTAATCTTAAAGTTTTAATTTTGGGAATAAGACAGCCCAGGGGACTGTTATTTCGGTGGTTTACAAATTTATAGCAAAAAAACCAAAATTTATTTCATTTTAGTTTTCAATGCTCCGAATAGAATTTTTTTTTTTTACTTTCGTAATAAATTTTTTTTAGTAACGAAATAACAATTTTTCTAATAAAAAAATGCCTAGGACAGCAAAAAACATCTTTACAGAGAATCACCCATATATATATATATAATAAAAAAAAAAAAACTTACATTCTTGTTAACAGCTTCAATGTTTTCGTTTACAGCCGCTGCAACAGCTTTTTCATTGATATCGATCTCTTCGACAGCCTGTAAATAAAATCAAAAATTTAAATGACTTTTTCTTTAAAAAAAAAAAAAAAAAAAAAAATATTATAATTTGTCTCTAATTAATAATTAAAATAATTTACAATCAGCTGGCCCCTGTATATCTTTCATTTAATTTTGAAATAATCAAGAACTAAAATTTGCTCGGCAACATTTTAGTCATCAGGTATTCATCATTTTATAAATCAATTTATCGGTTAATAAATAGATAATTAAATAAAATTAAAACAAACCTTAGTTACAGAAGTAACATCTTCAGTGATAGCGGGTCCAAGTGATGCTGGAGGTTCAACGACGGGTGGTACTATTTTAGTTTCTTCCTCAACAGTTTCCGTTTTTTCAGCTACGTTATTTTCAACGGGAGCTTCAGCTTCTGGTATGCTCTATAATAAATAATTTTTCAATCAATATAAAAATTGTCATTAACTATAAATCTTAAAGTTTAAAAAAAATAATTAAACACAAAAATTCATTTGATACTCGACCACTCATTCGAAATATAGACATGCTAAACAAATAAAACTCATTCATTCAATCTGTAGCATGCTCCAAGATGCATTCAAGTTATTTTTTTCTCGCGGTAATTTAATTACTGCCTATCAACAAGTGTTTACTACTGGCTTTAATTCATTTATTTTCTAAGCTCAGTTAATTGATTTAACTTTAATAATTTTTTATTAGAAAATAACAAATTAAAATAATTAATAATTTTTCAACTACTAAAAATAAACCACAAATCTATCTTAAAAGTACATTCTACTGAAAAATAAAATTTTCTACAAAATATTGAGAAGAATATAATTTCCTACGAAGCCAGTAGTCGTAAAATATCAAAATGACAGTGGTAAAGTTAGTGAAGAAAAACCAAGAGGCAGGATAGGATCAGGACAACAATCACTACTTAATAAAAAATATAGCCAAGACCTACTGACGAAAAGTCAGCAAGCCTCAGCTATCAAGGATAAAATGAGGTCCAAGGACGGGACATGATGGACCAGGCAGGCGCGGTTAAATCACCAGCCGCGTAATCTTAACAATATCATCATCAAAATTGCCGTCCGATTCATGCCAGTAGTTGGTGTTGGTTAATCACCTGATGATTATTCTGGAACAAACTGTCTTTAGTTGCCGATTCGTGATCGTACTCGCCATCGCCATTAACATCAACATGTCCATTTCCATTGACTCCTTCAATCGTCTCAATATCTTTGTATCCGTTAACTTTATCCCGCGAGGACTCTACGGATGGATTGGGATTGACAGGCGGTGACAAGAGGTCTTCTGTCGGACTTAAGGGACTAGGAGCTTCATTATCACTAACTGTTCTTTCTTCTTCATTTTTATCCAGTCTCAGTGCCTGTTTACTCGGATCCAAAGGTACCGGTAGATTGTCCAACTCTTGCTCTAATCCACTTATTGGTGGTGGTGGTAGTAATTCTTCTGATAAACCAAAATCTTCTGAAATTTGTGATGCAATAAAGTTCATTAAATCTGCAGATGCTTTTGGTACTGGAATCGGCGACTCTGGTAACGGAGGAGGTATATCTGCTTCAACATCTTCCGTAGTGGTCATTAAATTTTTAACTTTTTCACAAGTTTCTTCCATTTTTTCTTCAACAGTTTCTTTTATCTCTTCAATTTTTTCAACTACCTCATCAGTAGCAGCTTTAATTTCTTGAGTGACTTTTTCCTCAACATTTACTTTCAAGTCTTCAATTTTTTCACAGTCTTCTTTAATTACTTCACTAGTTTGTTCAACTTGACCAAGGATGTCACTAATTTCTTCAGTGACTTTTTTTAAATCAAATCTTTCACATACTTTTTCAACTTCTTCAGCAGTTTCTTTAATATTTTCGGCAATAATTTCTCCAACACTTTCAGGTACCAGAATTTCTTGAACCTGTGGAGTCTCGGTAATTTTTTCTTCCAGCTCAGTGATTTCAATAACTTCAGGAACAGCGTTTACTGGAGGAACTGCATCAACCTCAACAACTTCAGTCTCAACTACAATCTCAGGAACTACTTCAATAACCTCAGTCTCGACTTCCATTGTATCGGCAATGTCGGGAACGGCTTCCACTATGTCGGCAACATCGGGAGCTATTTCAACGACATCAGGAACGGCGTCTATTTCGGGCAGATCAGCCATTTTGTTGTCAACTTCTTGGATTTCAATGAAGGAGTTTTCTAGGAGTTTATCATGAAGATTAGATGAGTTTTCACTGTCAGAAGTGGTGTTAGTGATGGGCAGCGAATCGATATTAGTAAGAGCGGGTTTAAGAGCTTCTGCGAGAGCAGTGGCGTTTGGGGCAGCCTGCTGTGCCTGCTGGAGGGGGGATGGGTCTATGGGGGTAGGTGGTGGACTGGTGGGAGCAAAGGAGGGAAAGTCCTCAGTGGTTTTCCTCTCAGTGATAGAACATATCGGTGGTGAAATTTTTGGTGATGGTGGTGGTGATGGGAACTTGGCGGCCAGCGCTGGACCTGGACTGACCTCGACTTTCTCGACCGGCACTTCGGGCTCCTCTTTCACAGCCTCGGGGGCGGGAGTTGGGGCAGGAGATGAGGGTGCTTCTTTCTTCTCCTCAGCGGGACTCAAGGTCACTGCTGCGGGGGAAGCCGGCTCCTCGGTCTTTGACTCCGGAACTGAATCTGTTGGACTGCTGGCTGATTTGTCCTCAGCGGGACTCACTGCTTCTGGATTCTCTGCTTCTTCGCCACCCTGAAAAATTTTTTTATTAGTAATTACTTTTTTTAATTTATGTTTTTAATTGTGAAGAAATAAGCAATTTTAGTTTTATTAGGTTTTGATTTTTGGAATTTTTTTTTCTTGATTTTATTTAAAAATTACGAAAAAAAAAAAAACTAAACATTCATTGAAATTAAAAAAACATCATTCCAAAATTTTTAGATAAAAATTTGAAATTTAAATTCTGACTAAAATATAAAGTACAAAAAAAATTAATAAGATATTTTTTTTGTCGGAAATTTAATTCTATATAACAAAGGTTTTTATCAATTTTTTAGTATGTTCAAAAATTTGCTAACAATTTCAATTTCAATTCATCTGGAATAATTATTCCTTGGAGCAAGTTTATACAGATTGTTCATTTTTTCTCGAAGATTAAAATACGCAGTAACATTCATCTAAGATATTACTAAGTTGTTTTCAGAATACTAAAAATCCTTGTATTTTTCTTATTTCCTACATTAGAATTCTCGAATACTTATCAAAATAAGTGTAAGTAAAATTTTTTGCTATTTTTAATGAAAAAACTTTTAAAAATAAATTTTTTGTTGAATTGAAAAATATTTCTCTTCAATCAAATAGTTTTTTTTTTCAGGGTGAATATTAAATTGGATTTATATAAATAAAATATATGAGACTATAAAACTAAGAGACCTAGAGATCAAGTGACTAAAAAGAGAGTTAATAAAAAAATTGGTCTTAAGCCAACAACGCAGTCTTTGGTTTTATATACGTGGATATATATTTAAATGAGGAAGTATTGCATACGTTTATTTTCATCTGGAATCTATATTATAAGTGACGGTGTCTCATTACGGTCCATTGTGCATATTACACCTCAATAAAGAATAAGGAGAATTCAATACTCGATACTTCCATTTCCGATTTTATTTGTCGTATCTTCGGATGGACTTATCTACATTCAATATCAAGGCTTCAATATATATTCTTATGATGATCAATGCAATTCTATAATTTAAAATGAACAATTTAAAACAAATTTTATTTTTTAGGAAATAATAACTCGACTTTTTATCAGAATGGAAGAAATAAGAAATAAAAAAATTGCCGTGATGAGTTAACGTCGATGTTAAAGTTTGCTATCAAGGAAATAGCTTAATTTATTTTTCCAGTTGCGTAGAAATCTCGTTTTTATTTTCTCAGACTTAAAGTCACTTTTTGCAACGTTATTTTATTTTACTTCTTATTGAAGTCGTTTTTACTAATAGAATAGAAAGTATAGAGAACAAGATTGATAAAAGTCTGAAGAGGTGAAGAGTTCTGAGAGGTTTATAACAAATATAATATAGATATATATTGTAATGCGAGTTGAAGATGATTCAACCTTTAGATTTCATTTCATGCACTCGTGAGTCAAGAATGATTTTATTTTAAACTGACTCTATTTTAGATACATTCTCATTGTTACGCTTGACTTTATGCATCAGTAAATAGAAGTTGTATTATTATGATAGATAAATATATGTTTTATCTATTTGTATTTTATTCAAAGCTATAAATTAAAAATATTTCTCTCTATATACTTCTTCAATACACTTTTTTTTTATTTGTAATGGGCTTATTATATAGTCATTAAGTTTTAATGGTTAATTTTCATTGTTATTTAATTTTTTGTTAGTAATTAATTAAAATTTGATTAATAAACTTCATTAATTCAAAAGCTATTATTTAAAAATTTTGATTGAATAATTGAAAATTTCATTAGAATTTAAAAAAATCTTAGTAATTATTTATAATCACGTACACGGAAAGAACAAGATGACACTGGATATCATCCCAGATTATATACTCAGTGATATCTATGGTGAAAAAAATTTCAGATAGTAGCTAAAAAAAATCCAGATTATACTGCGTGATATCTGGATTATACTCATTGTAATCTTGATTATACTAGCTACTATCTAAAAAAAATTTTCACTCAGTATAATCTCGGATAATATCCAGTGTAATCCTGTTTTTTCCGTGTAGTTATTATTTGAGTAAAAAAAAAACCCATGCAAATGTTTTTTTCAACAATCTTATTTTTTTTTTCAAAATTAATCAAAATAAAATTTGTAAAAAAACAGGTAAATTTTTTAATTAAAAAAAAATTTTAAATTGATAATTTTTTACTCAAAAAAAAAAAAAGTTTTAAAAAATTTTTTTTTTTTATAAAGATCAAAAAATGATCAAAGTTTAAAATTTTAAAGGCTATCTTTTTGGAAAATTTCTTTAAATTATTGTGAAAGATACACTTAAAATATAAATACCATAATCACAATAATTATTCAATTATCCAATGAAAAAAATTTAATAAAAATCCATTTAAAAAAGTAACATCATTAATAATTGTTCACACTCCACCCAAGGGTTAGATAAACAAAAAAAAAAAACTTGAAAGTTAAAAACAAAATTAATAAGGTGTCACACGACCCGATATCCGGCAGTAGATTTATAGTTTAAGATTTCCATTTTATTATCCTTAGTATAATAAAAGGATTATAATTATAAATAATTAAAACACTTTATTGAACAAGCATTTTTGTGTCACCCCATGCATATCCATATTATCTGGATAATCCTCGCACAAGCAGCCCATACCGTGTCTTTATCGATATCCTCCTTAATGATAATACCTAGAAGTGGAATAGCCGCTAAAACGCGCCTCGTGCCCCTTAAAACGGCACCCGCTGCCCTGAAAAATCCCCCACCAACACTTCGGCCTACCTTTACTACGGATTCCATCTTATCTCGGTCTCGGACAATCAACAATTAACAATTAAACAAGTAATTTATAAATAATCCACTTAATTCCAAAGAAGAAACCAAACTACAGTCGCGAAGAGACACGACTTCGAACTCATGCCGGGCAGCAGCCGGGTGCGGTTTATATAGACTCTCTCATCCCACGTAACTATGCATCACATATCACATGCGATAGTAATGTAAAAACAAAACTAAAAAAATTTTTATGTATTATACAGTACAGTCGAATAAAATATATCATGAATTCTGTGTAGGTCGTTAATTATCGGAGGAAATTAATATAAACCGGTATGATTTTTTATTTATAATTATAAAACTTTGTTTTGTTCTGTGTCTTGTTCATAATATATAAGACACAAGTGAAGATACGAGACAACAAAAGATAAAGATATAATCCGTGACACGAGGCAGGAGGCATGAGGCATGATCCCAAGATGGCGGTCAAAGAAGTAAAAGGGAGAAAAAAAATCAAAACCGCAAGCCGCATCTATTCTTAGACGCGTAGTTTTTTATTTGTCTCGGTATGAAGGAATCGAAGATGTCGTGTAGTAGATGTAACATATACGTAGATGTGTGGGCAATCGGTTGATAGGTTGATAGTTATTACGCCGCGAATTTACACCCAGTAACTAGTAACCCCCCGTTATAGTTCGCGGTCGCAGAGCTGACTTTATAGTATGTAATATATAATGTACATATAAGATAATGTCATATCAAGACGCAGTTTATTTGTCTATCCACGGCTGGGTGATCAACATAAGCACGGATCGGTTAGAATCGCGATCCGGATCGGGTGACCGTTTTTTGTTACGCTGTCGGATCTAAACAAGCCTTGGAGTGTTACTTTACATAGAATGTAATTAATAATAAATAAATAATAAAATAATAAATCATATATGATAAAAATGTGAGGTGGATTGTTTGTTTGTAACTTGGGATGATGATAGAGGCTGACAGGTTTTGTTTTTGTTGACTTTTGGGTCTTGGAAAATTTTTTAGTGCTAAAGAAAAAATTTTATACATGTAATTCGAGTATGAGAGATTAAAATAGAAATTTTTTAGGAAGAAAACCTTGAAGAAGTTTTGTTATTATTTGGCTGGAGAAATTATAATTAGTTCAGGGACGCTTCCGCAACGGCAGCACTTGCGCGGCAAAGAATTACCGACTAAACGGAAGGGTAGCATTATTTTAGAGAATTGTTTAGTTACACGGTCACTTGATTGTTTTGGCATACGAAATTGAAAACTTGATATATTAAATCAATCAGGGTGGCGACTAAACACTAATTTCGAAATTCCCTAACTTTTCCATGACCAAAAATGAAATTCCAGAACCTACAAAAAAATAATTGTTAGTCAAATATTCGTTATAATTGCAAATTATTTTAAAAATAATTTTTGTATGCTAGAATTCATATCTAATATCCAGAATTGAGTAAAAATTTGGAACTATAAATTATGTTATACTTTTTTGCAGATTTTCAACTATTCAAAAAAGATCAGTTTCTTTTGAAAATTAAATTAAATAATTAAACTTTTGAAAATACAATAATTGATATTATTACTATCACTAATCATTAAGAAGTTATACTTCTTTTTTATTATTATTAATTATCCATACATTTAGTTTTTTGAATATTATTGATCACAAAAAAGAAGAAATATGAATTAAGAAATTAAATAACATCAATTAATATTAAAAATTATCTGCAGTACGATTTATAGAATGCTATAGAAATAATTTATTATTTCTACAGCATTCTAGTTTATTTTTTAAAATAAACTAGAAATTTCCCTGACCCAAGTTAAAAATCCCTGACTTTTCACTGACTATTCCAGAAATTTCAAATTCCCTGACATTTCCAGGTTTTCCAGGTCAATCGCTACCCTGTAAATTATATTTTTCTTAAATTGTTCTATTTCACAGTAAAGTTAAAATTAAAATACTGAAAATTTGTAAAAATTAATTTTTTATTTAGTTTTAAAATTTACGATTTTAACAAAAATATTGACGACTTTAAATCTGCTAAAACTCGGTTTTTTTTTTTTAATTCTAGGTGTAAAAACAAACACAAAAAAATTTTTTTTAAATGTCCATTTTTGTTATTTTTTCATTAAAAAAATTTTTTTTTTAAAGAAAAATTGAAAAATTTTTATGAGCCGTGAAACTCTAAAATTATTTTACTTTGTTTAAATGATTCTGAAGAATAATTTCTAATTAATTTAGAGATTCAACAGTAGAACTTTGAATTGAAGAGTTAGTTGAGGGACGCCATCACTGCAGCAGCACTTCCGCGACGCTGTCGGTAAGTTTAACGATTACCTGTACGGAGGTAAGCTTATAGCCTAAGCAAACGGCAGCAGGTAACCAGCAAATAGTTAAACCGAGACGTGTCGAGGCTTTTCTTTGTGGAAAGAGCAAATAAGAGTTTATTTGAGGAAAAACATTAGCGAAGCTGAATCATCAGTAACGAGGCTCGGTAAATAGTTGATGCAGACTCCCAACGTTGAAATAAAAGAGAATTAAACTCGATGTATCCACCTCTGTCTCTAATTACAAAATTTCTACAAAGATAAAGTTGTTGACTCGTTAACAGGGGGTGGATGTTTAAAACCCGAGCATTAGGCGAATTGGAAACTCCAAACCAGCAAAAAAAAAAATCAGGTTATTTTTTTTAACTTTCAAACTAATTTAATTAACGGTGCTTTTAGAGTAATATTTCACTGGTCTATGATCTTTCTGCGGGTTTAGGTTTTTTTACAGATTAAAATTATTGATTTCGTTTTCAGAGCTATTGCTAGATTAATTTTGTCGAGTCGATTGCAAATTATGATAGAGAGATAAGGAATGACAGAGGAGGCGTGAACTCGCAACAAAAATGTATAAATAATGGAGGATATTCTTCATGAAGAAAGGAATTAAATTGTGTGTTACTTTCTTTTATTTACCACAGTCAGTGACTTTGCTTGTCAGAGTTGAAACAATGAGGACAAAATGTAAATAAAATGTCTCATGAATTTTTCCATGAGTCATAAAGTCTTTCTACCAGGGTAGGAAAGTTTCAAGTCGGATACTATTCCAAGGAAATGAAATAATAAAAACGTTTTAATATTAACATTTCGGACAAAAAATTGGGCGTCTATTCCAAAGATTTGCTAGCATGCTTTTTATCTTAAAAAGGATATACGTAATTTTTAATATTTTCAACACTCGACATGTTCAACTACATATCATCTTTAAAAAATTCCGAATTAATATTCTGAAAAGCAAAACTTTTGTCAAAAATTACACAAAAGAGAAATTCGAAATCTTCCATCAAATGTATCGTCTTCCTTTGATACAATCGAATTCGATATTGAAAAATATTGTAACCCTCGAGCAAGAATTAAACATCTGTATGAAGCAGGTAAGGTAAAGTACCCAGTAGTTGAACAGGTTTCAAAGTAAAACGTATTTGACCCTACTTTTAATATATAAAGATGTAATTATTAGTTCAAATTAGTGATTTTCATGAAAATATAAACAATTTTGAATTGATTCAAGTGCAAAATAACGCAAATAATTCAATATTTATAATTTAACAACGTTTTTAAGATAGACTATGAAAGGAGTTGTAGTTGAACAATCAATTCTGACAAGCCGCAGTAGTTGAACACTTCGGGAGCAGTAGTTGAACTAATAAAATATATGGCGATAGGCACACCAAAAATTTTCAACGTTTTATTGAAATATTCAAAGATTTATAAGATATTATTGAATAATATTAAAAATAATACTGTGGATATTTAATATGTTCATTTAAAAATGAGAAACATTTGTATTTGATTTTTTAATTACATTTTTTATGAATGACAAAGTAAATTTTCAATTATAAATAAAAAAAACTCAATTCAAAACGTTCAATAATTTTTAACTATATTAATTTTTAGTTATAAAACTTATTTAATTTGCAGTAATTAATACAAATCACAATACTGATCATTAATCTATAAACCTATTAAAGGTTAGAGTGCTGTTAAAATTATATGGTCCCAGCTTGTTCAAGCTCTGGGTACCGCTTTGAAAATTGAGAGGTATAGTTGAACGCTAAAATTTAATATAAAAATTATAATTTATGTCTTTGCAAAAATACGTATTATTTAGAAAAGACTATTTCATTGAGTGGTACAATTTTTTTCACTTAAAATGATGATATACCGTTTTCTTTACTGATTGTTTGGTTTACGGTTTAGTACCATTTTCATGAAAAAAATAGTATCTATCGGCGATTCTCGACATGTCAACTTTAAAGTTAACAAAAATGCAATTGTTTTGATCTATAATTGAAAAAACTTACCAAAATCAATTACTGTATCATTGAATAATTATAAAATGCGCATATGACTCATAATATATATAAACAGATTTTGTATTACAGCAATTCTAAAAGTCTGTTCAACTACTGGTCCCATGTTTAGAAGTGTTCAAGTACTGGGTACTTTACCTTATACGGAAAAAATATTTGGAATGAATTGAAATTGAAATTGTTAGTTAACTATTAGAAAAGCGAGAAAATTAATAAAGATCTTATTTACAGAAAAAAAAAAAAAAAATGAAATAATTTCAAATTTTACAAAAGCTTCCCTTTAACATTTTTGTTCATAATCAACGAACTCCAAGAAATAAAAATTAAAAAAAAAAAACATTGTTCCACTCTCTACTTCTAACAAAAGCGTTTTTCGGTCACTGCACCTGTGAATTAAACAAAAATATTTTGCAAATGGCAATGAGTTGTTGCACAAGCAAACCGCTAAAAAAGAAACAATGATTATAGTAATAATAATAGCAACAGTAATAATAAAGAGGTGAAAAAAAGTGGAGTAGGTAAAGAATAAAATAAGGAGTCATCGCCCTGGGAATTTTCACTCGGTGGCTTTTCACCCTGGGGGTTTTTCCACAGTTCGTATCGGAGTTTTTGTTGGTATAGCGTTCGCTGTAC